AAATGTTAGTAAGGGAAAAAGCATACACCAAGAATTAAGGATACAACAAAAATTTCAAAAAATGCAAAATTTCAGAGATGCTAGAGTACAGTATGTTAAGACTTCCATGATAAAGTTCAAAATGATAGACGAATCCATAAACAGAAACTAGAGAAATCTAAGGCAATGTGCGTAGATTAATGAAATTATGGACTAAAAGCACAAAATTCCAGCGTGCCTGTCTCTGAAATGCATCAACCACCTGGGCGAAGTGTGGCAGACATTATGCACCAGCAAACAGTGCATCTCACTGCACACCAGATTAGGAGGAGAAAAGTACGAAACTGCTTCATCAGTCCAATTAAGGGGAAACTTCAGGGAAGGCAGACTGTACAGAACCCATCACATATAGCTAAGAGATTAATACCCCTACTCTTATTATCTCTGCCATGGAGTATTTAGTGACCAAGCAACCCAGACCGTGTTATAACCAAACAACAGTACAGTTTCCATACACGGAAATCTAGTCCAGAGGGAAGCCAGCTGCAGATCCACCAACAACACTAACAACAGTAACCTGGATTTCCTTGGAGACTTCCCATACCATTAATACCCAGGCCTAGATTTATTAAAATAGGAAAAAAGGTGGATAAAGATAAAGTGTATTAGAGTACATTTTGTACCTTGAAACCAACTAAGCAAAATACCTTTAATACAAATTTAGAATATGGCTTGCAAGCAATTCTACAAAGCGGTCTTTTGAACATCCCCTTCTCGATGATGATGGCTAGATTCTGCTTAACAGCACCGTGTTATTTCCAGTGTCCAGGATAGTGGAGTGGTTGCAACTCCATTAATTGCAGCCTAATAGAGTCCAGAGCAGACAATTGAATTAAACCGTCCGATGGCGTTACTGAAAGACAGTTAATCTCCATCCGGGGTGAGACCAAGGAAGATGCAGGGAGACAATGGGAGGTAGTCAGCAGAGAGGGCTTTAAATCTCCCCAATACTGCTCTTCTCTGGCTGCTACGGACTGATACAGCTCCCTCACTGCCACATTCAAATAAGTGCTGGATGACCTGTGTGCACAAGGAGAGCCCGCAGATCCCCGCTAACCCCAATCTGTCCTGACTTAATTGCCTCTTTCCTTCCTTATCAGAGACAAACAGAAGAAGGTGGAAAACAAGACACCACTGAAAGGCCGTGAAGAAATGTGATAATAGAAATTTAATGAGGCTCTGCTCTCTCTTTCAGCGGGTGGGAAGTTGGATGGTATCACATTCATGTCCTGAGCTTTAATTCACTGTGATGCTCCAGGACAAGGGCACCTCTTGCTAAGGCTCAAAAAGCTTACTAGAGAGATCATGTCTTTGGCTGACAGTCCTAAGGGCAAAGCCATACGTTAATAAAGTAACCCTATTAGGGGCTGACAATAATATTTTCCATATAATAAAGTTGGAAGACTAACGAATCAGAACCTTGTGACATACAGTATGCTGGGGAAAACCCAGGACAATACCTGAATGAACAACAAAGTGGTCAAGTTGTTTATGGTACCCCCAAATAAAGTACTACTTTATTTTTCTACTGAAATAATAAAAACTTTATTATCCAATGAGAATACTCTATATTTAATTGCAGCTATCTTCTTTCATAAGTATCATTTAACAGCATAAAACAAAGCTACACCTGATACCGTGCAACGTGGATTTTATTCATGCTACTTCACAGACAATTCTGGCTTGCCAATACTTATGAGAAAAAAAACAGAACTGTCGTAATACATGTAATTTAAAATATAGAACATGATTCCCTTAGAATTCATTATAATAAGAACATACTGTAAATAAGTTTACTAATGAAATGAGGCTAATCAAACTATTTTGAATAATAATGTTGTAATCTCTAAAATTGTTGGCACCCTTGGTAAAGTTAAGCAAAAAGGCTTAAACCTGGCTGCAAGTGATTCTTAAAGCAACTGTAGCATTTGTTTGAAAATACATTTACAATTTAAGAAATGTTGGTTTATTCCACTGAATCTTTTATAAAGTAAAATATTTCTCAAAGATATGCCTGTATTTTGCTCCATCCATTTACCCCCATTCTTGACAAGCTTCCTAGTTCCTGCTGATCAGCCATTTCAATGCCTGGCTTTCTGCACCTCTGCTTGTCAGAGCAGGAGCTGTGGTCAATAAGTGCTGCCATGCTGTCAGCTCTGCACATCCCTTAATTTCTGTCAGCTGTGAGAGACAGAGCTGCATCTCTCCACCCGCAAACCTTTTCAATCCAGGTGCACAGCAAAGCAGTGAAAGAATATGACATTTCCTTTACAAGAAAGACAACAAAACACTAATCTTACTAACTGCCAGGCCTCCTGGGTGAAGAAAAGAAATACAGTGTATGTCGAATGTGTCTGAAATATGCACCCGAGGACTCTAGACGAGGGAAGAAGGAAAATCAAATCTGAGTTTGAGAGAATCCAGCCAGTTTGGACTTCCTAGACAACCAATACTGCAAAGATGTGAAGTCCATATCTTATATCTTATCTTGTTCTCCATTCCAAAGATTTCTGCTTCTCTTTAATCCAGGTCTTTGTGCTTTGTTAAAACACAGTGAAGAGACTGAATACTCCTATGAACACTGTACTCTTCGCAGACGGATTTTATGACCAGTGCAGTGAAATGCATCTTTATCTGGTCACTGACAGGCCATAGGCAAGAAATCTTAAAAGACAATTTTAAAGGGGAAATATTTGTGTGATTATTTTTTCTAATCCTTTGCCTGATTAATCATAAACCTTTTTAGGATGTTTCTGCAATGCAATCTGACTATATATTTTTTTAAAGGAGATACTTAAAATTTAATTTGATGGTAAAATAATACCATTAACATCTAATAAGCACATAAATAATATACTTTATTAATGTGTACGTGTAATCCAAAACTATTTTGCTATTGAAATGTGAACCTTCATTATGAACTGCTCTATTGCTTCAACAGTAATATATTCTAGATTTGTCCACTTGGTGTCACTATAAACAAACACTTTTTCCGCAGGTTTAGCAATTAAGCTCTTTTTATTGTTTAAAACACACAGATTCGGTCTTTTTGGGTACATATCTGTGGTCAATACTACAAATGTAAAGTGTATATACTGTATACTGTACATCTTCATTTAACACAGAACCAAACAGTGTTTCATTGGTCTACAGTTAAGAAAAGGAAACTAGATTCTAGTGATATTATGACACAATTGCAGACTAGATAGTCTCACAGGCATATCTTCAGGGATCAATACAATTCTAAGGAAAATCATGCAGGGATTTCAGAAATCGTGTGACTAAACACTCAGTCTGCTTAGGCTGTCCAGACACTTATTTCCTTAGGGCTGGGCAATCTACCCAGCCTTGGTATTTGTTTTAAGAGGCTGGGAGCTCATCACAATTAGTGACAAAAATAATGATCAATAATTCCAGCCTCCAAAGCACAATACAGCAGAAGGAGTGAGTTAACAAAGAAAATCTCTGACTAATGTCAATCACATCGTTATATAGGATGTGGATGTAAGAAGACATGTTGCAGTCCGTTTGAAAGATGCACTTTTACTTCCATTAGGAAAAATGCATTCAAAACAGTCCTTTGTCTAAGACAAGAATCACATTCAAAGGCAGATTAACAGATCACAGTATTCTGTTATTTATATGGTTGCAGGTTAGCAATGTATTTAAAGGTATATTGAAAGCAGTGCACTTATATCGGATATTGCTAATAGACAAACAAAGAAGATCTACATGGAACAGCATTAATCACATTCTTTTTTTATTTCCTGAGTAATTTCTTGCTCTTCCCAATCAAAATAATTATTGGGCAGCATCTGCCCTACTGTGCTGGCTTCAGATTGTTCTGTCCCAGTAGAAAAAGACACAATCAAACTCTTTTCTGGGTTTGTGGTAAAAAAATCAATACCATATGGAGGTGCCTTATATTATAAAAATTGTATTTACAGTTGATATCGATCATTTTCCATTTTTAAGGTTCTGCCATGTGAACATTCAAGGGTCTGTATAGATATTAATATTAATATTTCAGCAGTTAGAATAGGAAAACTATATCAAGAGAATTGTATGTGACTGTGTATTTACAAATCATGGCTTGGATGTGGTATTTCAGCATACTAAAAAGAGAATTCAAACTGATCCATCCATTGATTTTCTATCCGCTTTATGTAATGGATAGAGAATGGGGAGCCGAAGCCTATTCCAGTAATCAACATGGTGCAAGGCAGCAAACACCCTGAACAGGATGCCAGACCAGCACAGGGTACACAGAGACACAGACACACTCACTCCTGGGCCAAGTTTTCCCAAAGCCAGTTAACCCACTAGTAGGTCTCTGGACTGCTGAAGGAAAAATCCTTTAACCAGGAGGAAACCCGCACGAAAATGGGAAACTCCATTCAGGATGTGAGCCCATGGCACCACACCCCAGCACTGTGTGCCAGGAGTGTTTAACCTGCACCTCCATGCCACCCCCTGAATACTAAAACGTATTATTATGAACTGCTGAAAACTGAAAAAGGAATTATACAGAAAACAGTAAGTGGCTTCCTATGTGTTATTCAGAACATTTTCAAATACTAACACAATGAAAAGCTAAATGGTCACTTATTGTTACCAATAACGACAAAAGAATGAGAATGCATTATGTAAATTAGATTGGGATGTTTTAATTTAGGTTATACCTCAGTCAAAATCACAATAACTATTTAGGCACAACATATGGTAATACGTTTTATATGAAATTCTTCCAAAAACAGGTACAGCGCTGTACATGCTCTTAAGCACTGCAGTGTGCATGCTTCTCACCATCGCCTGCTGTGTGAATGAGAATAAAACTGACAGACAGATTTCTCAAACAGCCCGAAGTCAGTCTGTCCCAGTGCATGCTTGTACCTTACCTCACCACCTATGTACTCGCGCGCGCAAGCAGGAAGGTGCCCTGTTGCCAGGGGGGGTCTCACCGTGAGCTGAAGACGAGGGGGGTGGTCAATCTGAGGAGTGGGGGCGCGTGGAGATGAACCCTCTTCCTGGTCTGGAGGTGAGGAATGTGGGGCCACAGGCACTAAAGGCGCCCCAGTATCATTCAGTAGTACAGAATCCAGCAAAGGCAGCACACTGGGGTCAGTGGATGACAGGACAGAGTCTGGGCGCTGCAACAACAACAAAAACAACCTATTTGTATAATTATTGCCTTCAGTACTGCTGATAGCAGTATAATAGTAAAGAAAATGATTAAATTATCTGGCATTTATAAAAAAAACTACAGGTACAGGGGCAGCTGATTGATTGTATTAAGAGGAGAAGTCTGGACACCTTGGTGAAAAATCTCAGACATTGAATACTGGCATGCCTCAAACCCGATATACACTTACATGCGTACAGAAGGAAAATACTGTTTAGAATGTTTTTTTTCTGGACTCAGTAGTGGCTGGGAAAAATGGAAGCCTGTGCTGCAATGAGCAAATTTTAAATAAAGCATATGATGGAGAAATAGAGAAGTAAAATAACAAAACATAATTAATTGCCCACAATCATTTTGAATCAGCAATATAGACATCAGCCCTCTGTATGAGCATCTGTGTCAAATCCGGCATGGTGCCAAACTCCCAAAAAGTGTCCCTGTAAGCCAAGCTACTTGATCCAGCTTGGTTTGTGTCTGCTGTGCTCACAACAGAACACCCCAGTCAAAGTTTGTTTTACTAGAGTAGGCTATTCACATACACAAATGCATATGTACAGTAAGCAGAATTGCATGGATAATATTACTAGAAATTTACAAGAACTATTTTAAAGCAAAAAATCAACATGAATACCCTATATTCCTAAATATTTTATTTCTATATATATTGTGCAAATAAAACTACCCTTGTTGAGATTATTGATCAACCGGGTATGTTGTGTAATCTGTCCTCTATAATTCTGAAATTAAGCGCACTGAGATCCACCTTTCCTGACTCAGTCATACTGCTTTAATTGACAGCACTGTGAAAGACCATCAGTGCAATTTCTGCAGTGCCCTTGCTGATTCAGGCAGAGACACAGGGGCAATTCAGAGCTCCAGCTTCATCTCAGATTCCACAAACTGCTGGCTGGAAATTATTTTACAGACTAAGATAATCTCATTACCAACGGATACACAATGCCCGGGCTAATCCAGCAGTTCACCACAATTATGTTTCAACCTTTTACAAAGTCTTGACATAAGTATATTTAAAATATATTTCCGGGACTACATAAATTACTTTGTTATTAAATTTTTAAAACATTACTCCTTTTTATCTATCTGTAAGTGCATGGAGCCACAGCAGCAGGTAGTTACAGTAATATGTATTTAATTTTTTTTTAAATAAACATGGCCAGTCCACTTGCATTTTACAAATGTGCTATGAGTAAAAATAAAATATTAATTTATAAAATACTTAAAACCATTCTGGTTATATTAAAGAAATAATATAATATAGATGTTAAAAACAGCAGACTGATCAGCCCTTTATAATTCTTGCTAATAAATATTAATACACTTAAAGCTATCCAATTTCGAGCAGAACGATTTCCCCAATGCGGAGTTTCAGTAATTACTTGTAATGCAAAGCAATCATATTTTATGTACTGTATTGCATTTTTATGCTTACAATATGATTACACTAGGAAAACAGCCTAAGCAGTTATATGCAAATAACAAATATTAGGAACATAATCAGATTTAAAAAAATATCATACACTATTTCAAAGCTTAAAAGCTTAAAAAGATATACAGCTTGTGAACTGAAAACAGAACAGATTGTGCAAACAGTGGACTTTATACAAAATACAGTGTGTAAAAGTGGACAAGAGACCCTGTGACTATCTGTAAGTGTAACCTTACTCGGTTCAAAATGAGATGGTTTGTTCTCTTTTCCAAAACAATGTTCACTATGTATAATAGCCAACACACACAGTACCTGAAGTCAATAATGATTGTAACTTTCTCCCCTATGAGTCTATGCATAAATGAAACAGCTACAGTATGTTTGTACCAACAAGCTCTTAAGAGCTTCACAAACAGGAAAGTGTAGATCGAATGCAGCAAGGAAAATCCAAAAAGCTTTACTGATGATGATAAAAGCTTGTAATCCGAATAAGACAAAAAACATCTATGTTGAGCAGATACTGTAGCTCTCAGGCACCGCCTTGAAGAGAGACAGGGCTGGTTTTGTTTTTTTTTTATAATAAGGATGTTTGTTCTCCAACTGCTCATTCATTAACCTGGCATATGGACGAAAATCAAATTAGTTTAGCTGGATTCCACGCAAAAGAACAATCTATCTCTCCAAATTAGGGGCAGAGAATGTCTGCGAGCATCAGGCCCGTCTCTGTGAGTGCGCGTGTCTGGAAATGGAATGCTGCGGTCAGCAGGGTAATGAGACGGCGGGCGAGTGTGCTAAGCTATGCGCAGTCACACAGACTCTGATCAGCATTCATTTGCACTCTGGTCCCCTGCCACACTATCCCCATGCAACAATTTACACTGAGGACAGGCAGGACACAGGCAACTGCTATGTTTTCCGATCATCCTGTTTACCTATCTGTCCTTTTCTTTCTTTCTGTGTGTAACATCATGTACAGTTAATCACACTGCACATTCAACACTAACCCGGCCCAAAAAACGCAGCTGTTGCTTAATTTTTACATGCTGTTGACAAATGAAAAGAGCAATAATAAGATTAAAATATACTAAAAATAACTGAGCTAATCTAAATAATAATCTATAGCTGAGAATCATATTGACATGCTTGAAAAAAAAGGGCCTGCTGTGGAATTATTTAAACCCCCTACACCCATCCCATGCATCATAAACTGCATTTTCATTTTTACCAGTATTACTGAAAATGCGCATTACTTCCCGTGTTAAAACAGTGTGAATGCCTTCCTCCTGGTTTTATTTGCAGAACACCTCTGTCCATGGTCCTGAAGAAAGCAAACGCCTAACCCACAGACCTGGCTAATCTGCCATCTTCCCTTGCGCACTTGAAGGATGTCTGCTTTGGAGGCAGCACGTGTACTTGATTCAATTAGCAGGGCTCTGAACCCTCCTCTGGGACACAATAGCAGTGGGGGAAAGCAGCAGGTTCTGTTTAACAAAGACATTTGCTTTGCCTGTGCCCTGGTCCATCCAGCTCATTAGTCATCTAAGTGAGTGTGTTGTAGACCAAGAGACAAGCCACAGCGCAAACCTACTTCACAGCCCACACCCACACAGGATCGCAATCTTGAAAGCAAAGAATTCAAAAACCCTGCCTCAGCCATACATTTACTCCTTTCATTTTCTGCTTGGATTGCTGGTGTACGTGACATCTGGAGCTTATTTTTATTCTAAACAATTTCACATAAAGCATAAACAATTCTTTAATATTTAACTGTCTGCAAAAATGTTTTGGTTATTTGCTTGATGAAACTTAAGATAAAATGAAAACACATTTGACCCTTTGCATTGTTTGTAAGAGAGATAACACTGTTTATAAGAGAGATGTTTATATACTGAGAAGCATTAAAAACATCTATTGGAGAACATATTGAACTAGCTACATTTATTGCAATTTTAATGCCTCTCAGGTTTTATGAAGGGAAGCCAGCTCTGCTTCTGGAGAGCAACTTACCAGCAGGATCTATAGATTATTCTATAAATCATCAATTTCAGAACACTTGGTACTATTTAGATCTTATTATGTAAGCAGCTAAATAATTATTTAATTAAGATAATTCGGTATGAAAATCCCAACATCTTATACCTATCAAGGACCACCGTTGGCCATTTCTGACTTCTGAACCAATTAATTAGATAAATTGATCAAAACTTACATGTATCCCAGGTATTAACAAACTGATAATTTAAGGTTGAACTCAAGGATTAATTGTGTTGGAGCACAGAACTGCTGGACATATGCTTTTCAGGATCAGGGTTGGTTACCAGTTTTATATAATAATAACACAGGTTCATTGGCTTTCAAGTTAAGGGGCCGAATATTATTTTCAAAATGTTGTTTTCTTGAAAGGGCATGGGAAAAAAGTTCCACGTCCATTTCCAAACCACGACAATGTACAAACATGGGAAATATCTGCATGCATTCCAAGCAAAGCTCACTTTGAAATTTGATTATGGTGCAAAAAATGTGTCTGGTACAAAAACTGTTCACAGTATCATAGTCAGAGCCTTCTATCTCAGAGCTAACATCTGCACAGTCTGTTTACTCAAAACGTCAAAACTTGCTATCTCTTTCCCACAGTTTCACAAATTCATAAGGCTGGTCTGGGAAATGCAAACTGCAGACTTTTGAGCAGAAGAAAAGCTAGGCAGTTCATTCAGAAACTAAGGAAAAGGTCCCAGGTTTTTGATAAAAATGCTAGTGAACATCAGAAAGATAAATAAGATAACATGGCTTTTATAGCTGCTGGTTGTGCAGCATTCTTGAAAACACAAATCTACCTATTTCAGGCTGAATACATCTGCTGCATCACTTTGTAGGAAACTGTGAAATCTCATTAAAGAAAACTGATAAACAATCTACCTGTACCTGTTAAAGAGACAGACCTACTTGTAGTTCTGTTTTCCATAATCAAAAGGGGCATCACTGTCCAATACAACCAAAAGGCTTGGGAAAAGAAATCTAAGTTCAGTAAAGGCTAAATATATGCATGTGTAACCAAAGTAGAAAAATGCAAAAGATTTGGAAATATATTTTTAAATAAGATATTTTTGGTGAAATGTACCAAGGCTTTTAAAAAAACATATTGGATGTCATGGTACATAAGGTATGAAATCTTTGCTACTTTTAAGTGAATCCAATTCTAAATTAGGCTAGGGTAAAAGAAAGACTTTTTAAAGGAAAATTTCATGATTTTTGAAAAGTTTGAAACAGTACTGCCCAGGCTTTTCACATTTAAATCCCAGCACCCCAAAGGAAATGAACTCTAATCACTAATATAGACCAACACTGTTGAGTTACATTTCTTTGATATGAACCAGAGTATAATGATCAGTTCTTCATGTCATTCAGAGCAAGTAACCAATTCCAATTTTAGACTCAATATAGTGAAAGACCAGGGTATTGTCTGTAATTCAGTTGTAGTCTTTCACTACAGCTTGCAATTCACCCCCAAAAGGAGGAAAAAA